GGAGCACTGGACGTTACTGGGAGCACTTGGGAGGCACTGGGGGTTACTGGGAACACTGGGGGGAGTCACAGGAAGCACTGGGACGTTACTGGGAGCACGGGAGGCACTGGGGGTTACTGGGAACACTGGGGGAAACCGGGAGCACTGGGACGTTACTGTGAGCACTTGGGAGGCACTGGGGGTTACTGGGAACACTGGGGGAAACCGGGAGCACTGGGACGTTACTGGGAGCACTTGGGAGGCACTGGGGGTTACTGGGAACACTGGGGGAAACCGGGAGCACTGGGACGTTACTGGGAGCACTTGGGAGGCACTGGGGGTTACTGGGAACAACCCCCCCTGGTGTCCCCTGTGTCCCCACCATGTCCCCCATGTCTCCTCGGGTCTCTCAAAGTCCCTTCATGTCCCCGTATGTCATCGTGTCCCCACCTTGTCTCTCCCCAGATCCCCCGTGTCCCCATGTCCTCTCATGCCCCCCCCATTTCTCCACATGTCCCCCCCATGTCATGCCAGGTGTCCCCCCACATCCCCCTGTGACTCTGTGTGTCCCTCCGTGTCCCCGTGTCCCCACGTCACACCATGTGTCCGCTCACATTGCACTGTCCTCCGTGTCCCCACGTCTCCCGTGTATCTCCCCCATGTTCCTCCACGTGTCCCCCTTGTCACACCACATGTCCCCCCACGTCCCCATGTCACTCGAAATGTCCCCCATGTCCCTTCACATGTCCCCCCACGTCCCCATGTCACTCGAAATGTTCCCCCATGTCCCTTCACATGTCCCCCCACGTCCCCATGTCACTCGAAATGTCCCCCATGTCCCTTCACATGTCCCCCCACGTCCCCATGTCACTCGAAATGTCCCCCATGTCCCTTCACATGTCCCCCCACGTCCCCATGTCACTCGAAATGTCCCCCATGTCCCCATCTCACTCATGTGTGTCCCCACATCCTCGTGTCACTCCAAATGTCCCCCGTGTCACTCCACGAGTCCCCCTTGTCACACAGCATGTCCCCCCACGTCCCCATGTCACTCCGAATGTGCGTTTTACTGGGAACGCTGGGAGGGCACTGGTGGTTACTGGGGGCGTTACTGGGAGGGCCCCGGGTGGCACTGGGAGCACTGGCTGACGGTGGTGTCCCCACAGGCGCCATGTTCCTGGCTGAGGGCCCCTGGGCGCTGGCGGCCCCGGGACAGTGCCAACCCCACGTCCCCCCTGGTG